ATAATAATAACACTTTCTCATCCACGCGGCCAGCACTGCGAACAGATTGACAAGAAGACAAATCAAGCATACACCATATCCATATCAAAACCCTTCCTCAACATCAACATCCTAATAATAATAATGATACTAAAATAATAACAATTACAATTATTAGTACTATTGTATTTTTTTAATTACTTTTTTTTTTTTTATTACTTTATTATTTTATTATTAATATATTAGGGATAATTTCCAAAATACCCCCAGAAGTTAAGATTGAGGCCAAAATGCCCCTCAAAGATGAGGGTAGAGCGGAATGCCTCTTTGGGCGGAAAACTTGTTATGCCCCTGACAGGCGGGTGTGCAAATTTGCAATCTGGCCTAAGAAGTTGGCAAGTACGGGGGCATTTCGCAAAGTTGGACGGTACCTGGTAGGGGCATATTGCAAAGATGGGGCTCGACCCGACACCAGGGGTATTTAACAAAATATTTTTTTCTGTCAGAAGGGCATTCCGCTCTGCCCACATCTTTCAGGGGCACTTTGGCGTATATCTCAACTTATGGGGGTATTTTGCAAATTATCCCTTATTATTATTATTATTATTATTACTAAATCCTTTCCACTCTGCCCACATCTTTCAGGGGTGTTCTGGCATATATCTCAACTTATGGGGGTACTTTGCAAATTATCCTTTCTTATTATTACTATTATTATTATTACTACTAAATCCTTTCCACTCTCCCTTGAGGTCGATCCCCATCAATCTGGCATCATCCCACCACCGTCTTACTCGGAATAGAACGCCCAGCCACTATAGCCGGAATTTGGGCCTACTTTCAATCCACATGCAGCCATAGAAACCTTGCATTCTATTCAGGTGAATACGGTAGACTCCGCGTCAGACTCCCTGTTCATCCTGTGTACTCCAAACTCTACGTCAGAGTATCTGTGCGTCAGACTCTGCCTGTCAGACCCTTTCCCTGTCCATTATCAGCCACCATCCTAGACTCCATGGTTCCACGCTTGTACAATTCCCAGCCTGCAAATTTCGTTATTTGCAGCCGTGTCATGGCTGCAGTGGTACCACTCACTGTCCACCGATGTACAATTCCCAGCCTGCAAAATTCCTTACGTGGAAAGTCCTGGGACCTTATGGCTTGGATCAAACTCACGGCTTGGTACCAAATTTGGACAGTGTACCTGGATCAAAGTCACGGCTTGGTCCCGAATTTGGACAGTGTACCTGGATCAAACTCGCGGCTTGGTCCCGAATTTGGACAGTGTACCTGGTCCCGAATTTGGACAGTGTACCTG